AGGGGTCTGTCACACTGACTTAGACCGGTTGGATATTTTGCAATCGTCCAACCGGAGAGGGTCAGTCACTCTGACTTAGACCGGTTGGATATTTTGGTTAGCCTATACACTATAGGCTCCCCAACCTGCCTTTATTTCACGTACTTGTTGCACAACAACATCACCAAACATCATAAATGTGAGAGTACAAAAACATCACCAAGCTTTATTTCACGTACACGTTGCACAAACACATCACCAGACCAGAGTGTGAATGCTCATTGCGGTGGTTGTCTCACACATATTATCAGTGGTAACCATTTAAACCTTGCATATCCATCTGGTCTCTCAAGATACCGTATCATTCTCAATCGTCCAACCGGAGAGGGGTCAAACTGGCCGCCGTGCGAGAGCTCTGGGACGAGTGGTCGGCGCGCCTGCCGAGCCTCTACAACCCCGGGCCCGACGTGACGGTGGACGAGCAGCTGGTCCCGTTCAGAGGTAGCGGCTGCGTGTTTGTGCGTGTGTGTCTGTGTGTGTGTATGTGTCTATGTCTGTGTGTCCACACGGTCACCTGTGACAATTTCTTCACGTCCTACGAACTCGCGCAGCGGCTCCTCGCGGACAGGGGTCTCGCCCTGGTTGGCACGGTGCGCAAGAACAAGCCCGAGCTGCCGCCCGCGCTGCTCGCGACCAAGACCCGACGGGTCCTGTAGTCGGCGTTCGCCTTCACGCCCATCGCCACGCTGGTGTCCTATTTGGCCCGGCGAAACAGGAACGTGCTGCTCCTGAGCACGCTGCACGCGGACGCCCGGCTCAGCGACCGTGCGGACAGGAAGCCCGCGCTCATCCTCGACTACAACCGCAACAAGGGCGGTGTGGACAACCTGGACAAGGTCATCGGCACGTACAGCTGCCGACGGATGACCGCGCGTTGGCCCCTGGCCGTGTTCCACAACATCCTCGACGTGTCCTCGTACAACGCCTTCGTGATATGGCGCGAGGTCCACCCGACTGGATGCCCGGCAAGCGCAACAAGAGGCGCGTGTTCCTGGAGCGCCTGGGCAAGGCGCTCGTGAGGCCGCTCATCGAAAGGCGCGTCACCCTGCCACGCACGGAAGCGTCCGCGGTGGTCGTGAGGGCGCGCGCGAGGAGGCCCTATGCGGCACGCCGCCCGATGACGGGCTCGATCCGGACGCCCTGGGGCCGAGCGCCCGCTCCGGAAGCGCCCGCGCCGGACAACCGGGCCAGCAAGAGGAAGAGGTGTCAGATGTGCCCGTCCAAGAAGGACCGCAAGACGCACACGGTGTGCGGTCGGTGTAACAAGTACATCTGCAAAGACTGCTCGCGAGCCTACTGTACCGCGTGCGCCAACTGGGGCTTCGTCCGAGGCGGGACGATTTGACAGACGATGGGTGCATTGTTGTTGTTGGCTGTGTGTGTGTGTGTGTGTGTCTGAAACGCTTCTGTCGCCATTGCTTGAAATGTACCGTATGTCCCAAACGGACACGGAATTAATAATGAAATAAATACTAATAACAATAATAATAAATCGATTACAGTGGAACGCATGCGTTGTTGTATTTTGGGCTCCTCTTTTTGCAAAACTCCCAGGGCTGCGAAATGGGATCGCGGGTCACTCGGACCCGCTCTATTCGGGCTGTGTATACGACGCGCGGACAACGGCTGGGGTTAGATGCCGAGGTGGTGAGTTCGAGCCTCGCCCGGGCCGGTGGTTTTTACACCCTCGCCGATAAATACTAATAAAGGTAGTAAGAATAGATGGACAACGGTGAAACACGCGCACATCGTTGTATTTCGGCCTCCTCTTTTTTGCAAAACTCCCAGGGCTGCGAAATGGGATCGCGGGTCACTCGGACCCGCTCAATTCGGAGTGTGTACGCGACGCGAGGACAATGGCTGGGGTTAGATCCCGGGGTTGTGAGTTCGAGTCTCGCCCGGGCCGGTTTTTTCGCACTCGGCGATAAATACTAAAAAGATAGTGAAAACAGATGGACAACGGTGGAACATGCGCACATTGTTGTATTTCGGCCTCCTCTTTTTGCAAAACTCTTGAGGGCTGTGAAAAGAGATCGGGGGTCACTCTGACCCGCTCGACTCGGGCTTTGTACGCGACGTGAGGACAACGGCGGGGTTAGATGCCGAGGTGGCGAGTTCGAGCCTCGCCCGGGCCGGTGGTTTTTACACCCACGCCGATAAATACTAATAAAGGTAGTAAAAATAGATGGACAACGGTGAAACACGCGCACGTCGTTGTATTTCGGCCTCCTCTTTTTGCAAAACTCCCAGGGCTGCGAAATGGGATCGCGGGTCACTCGGACCCGCTCAATTCGGGGTGTGTATGCGACGCGAGGACAATGGCTGGGGTTAGATCCTGGGTTGTGAGTTCGAGCCTCGCCCGTTGCGGTGGTTTTTCTCACACTCGGCGATAAATACTAAAAAGATAGTAATAACAGATGGACAACGGTGAAACATGCCCACGTTGTTGTATTTCGGCATTTTCATGAGAAAGGCACTGCTACACTAGACAGGCGCTTTAACAAAGATTCGAACTCAGGATCTCCTGTTTACAAGACAGGCGCTTTAACCAACTAAGCCACAGCGCCGATACGTGCAAACAATCTTTTAGGGTTTCTTTGAAAGCAAAAATGTATCTTCCAGACCATGAGACAAAATACAAGAATAAGCCATTTCATGAAGGCACTGCTAAGATTCGAACTCAGGATCTCCTGTTTACAAGACAGGCGCTTTAACCAACTAAGCCACAGCGCCGATACGTGCTAACAATCTTATAGGGTTTCGAAAGCAAAAATGTATCTTCCAGACCATGAGACAAAATACAAGAATAAGGATTCTCATGAAGGCACTGCTAAGATTCGAACTCAGGATCTCCTGTTTACTAGACAGGCGCTTTAACCAACTAAGCCACAGCGCCGATACGTGCAAACAATCTTTTAGGGTTTCGAAAGCAAAAATGTATCTTCCAGACCATGAGACAAAATACAAGAATAAGCCATTTTCATAAAGGCACTGCTAAGATTCGAACTCAGGATCTCCTGTTTACTAGACAGGCGCTTTAACCAACTAAGCCACAGCGCCGATACGTGCTAACAATCTTTTAGGGTTTCGAAAGCAAAAATGTATCTTCCAGACCATGAGACAAAATACAAGAATAAGCCATTTTCAAAAGGCACTGCTGAGATTCGAACTCAGGATCTCCTGTTTACAAGACAGGCGCTTTAACCAACTAAGCCACAGCGCCGATACGTGCTAACAATCTTTTAGGGTTTCAGAAAGCAAAAATGTATCTTCCAGACCATGAGACAAAATACAAGAATAAGAAGGCACTGCAAGGAACTCAGGATTTCATGAAGGCACTGCTAAGATTCGAATCTTTTAGGATCTTCCTGTTTACTAGACACTGCTAAGATTCGCTTTAACCAACTAAGCCACAGCGCCGATACGTGCAAACAATCTTTTAGGGTTTCGAAAGCAAAAATGTATCTTCCAGACCATGAGACAAAATACAAGAATAAGCCATTTTCATAAAGGCACTGCTAAGATTCGAACTCAGCTTTAACCAACTAAGCCACAGCGCCGATACGTGCTAACAATCTTTTAGGGTTTCGAAAGCAAAAATGTATCTTCCAGACCATGAGACAAAATACAAGAATAAGCGATTTTCATAAAGGCACTGCTAAGATTCGAACTCAGGATCTCCTGTTTACTAGACAGGCGCTTTAACCAACTAAGCCACAGCGCCGATACGTGCAAACAATCTTTTAGGGTTTCGAAAGCAAAAATGTATCTTCCAGACCATGAGACAAAATACAAGAATAAGCGATTCTCATGAAGGCACTGCTAAGATTCGAACTCAGGATTTCCTGTTTACTAGACAGGCGCTTTAACCAACTAAGCCACAGCGCCGATACGTGCTAACAATCTTTTAGGGTTTCGAAAGCAAAAATGTATCTTCCAGACCATGAGACAAAATACAAGAATAAGCCATTTTCATGAAGGCACTGCTAAGATTCGAACTCAGCTTTAACCAACTAAGCCACAGCGCCGATACGTGCTAACAATCTTTTAGGGTTTCGAAAGCAAAAATGTATCTTCCAGACCATGAGACAAAATACAAGAAAAAGTGATTCTCATGAAGGCACTGCTAAGATTCGAATTTAGGATCTCCTGTTTACTAGACAGTCGCTTTAACCAACTAAGCCACAGCGCCGATACGTGCTAACAATCTTTTAGGGTTTCGAAAGCAAAAATGTATCTTCCAGACCATGAGACAAAATACAAGAATAAGCCATTTTCATAAAGGCACTGCTAAGATTCGAACTCAGGATCTCCTGTTTACAAGACAGGCGCTTTAACCAACTAAGCCACAGCGCCGATACGTGCTAACAATCTTTTAGGGTTTCGAAAGCAAAAATGTATCTTCCAGACCATGAGACAAAATACAGGAACAAGGAATTCTCATGAAGGCACTGCTAAGATTCGAATTTAGGATCTCCTGTTTACTAGACAGGCGCTTTAACCAACTAAGCCACAGCGCGATACGCTAACAATCTTTAGGGTTTCGAAAGCAAAAATGTATCTTCCAGACCATGAAACAATCTTTTAGGGTTTCAACTAAGCCACAGCGCCGATACGTGCTAAAAGAAAAAAATGTATCTTCCAGACCATGAGACAAAATACAAGAATAAGTGATTTTCATAAAGGCACTGCTAAGATTCGAGCTCAGGATCTCCTGTTTACAAGACAGGCGCTTTAACCAACTAAGCCACAGCGCCGATACGTGCTAACAATCTTCTAGGGTTTCGAAAGCAAAAATGTATCTTCCAGACCATGAGACAAAATACAAGAATAAGCCATTTTCAAAAGGCACTGCTAAGATTCGAACTCAGCTTTAACCAACTAAGCCACAGCGCCGATACGTGCTAACAATCTTTTAGGGTTTCGAAAGCAAAAATGTATCTTCCAGACCATGAGACAAAATACAAGAATAAGCGATTCTCATGAAGGCACTGCTAAGATTCGAACTCAGGATCTCCTGTTTACTAGACAGGCGCTTTAACCAACTAAGCCACAGCGCCGATACGTGCTAACAATCTTTTAGGGTTTCGAAAGCAAAAATGTATCTTCCAGACCATGAGACAAAATACAGGAACAAGCGATTCTCATGAAGGCACTGCTAAGATTCGAACTCAGGATCTCCTGTTTACTAGACAGTCGCTTTAACCAACTAAGCCACAGCGCCGATACGTGCTAACAATCTTTTAGGGTTTCGAAAGCAAAAATGTATCTTCCAGACCATGAGACAAAATACAAGAATAAGTGATTTTCATAAAGGCACTGCTAAGATTCGAACTCAGGATCTCCTGTTTACTAGACAGGCGCTTTAACCAACTAAACCACAGCGCCGATACAATCTTTAGGGTTTCGAAAGCAAAAATGTATCTTCCAGACCATGAGACAAAATACAAGAATAAGCCATTTTCATGAAGGCACTGCTAAGATTCGAACTCAGGATCTCCTGTTTACTAGACAGGCGCTTTAACCAAACGTGCTAACAATCTTTTAGGGTTTCGAAAGCAAAAAAAGCAAAAATGTATCTTCCAGACCATGAGACAAAATACAAGAATAAGCCATTTTCATAAAGGCACTGCTAAGATTCGAACTCAGGATCTCCTGTTTACTAGACAGGCGCTTTAACCAACTAAGCCACAGCGCCGATACGTGCTAACAATCTTTTAGGGTTTTGAAAGCAAAAATGTATCTTCCAGACCATGAGACAAAATACAAGAATAAGCCATTTTCATAAAGGCACTGCTGAGATTCGAACTCAGGATCTCCTGTTTACTAGACAGGCGCTTTAACCAACTAAGCCACAGCGCCGATACGTGCAAAACAATCTTTTAGGGTTTCGAAAGCAAAAATGTATCTTCCAGACCATGAGACAAAATACAGGAATAAGCGATTTTCATGAAGGCACTGCTAAGATTCGAATTTAGGATTTCCTGTTTACTAGACAGTCGCTTTAACCAACTAAGCCACAGCGCCGATACGTGCAAACAAATCTTTTAGGGTTTCGAAAGCAAAAATGTATCTTCCAGACCATGAGACAAAATACAAGAAAAAGCCATTCTCATGAAGGCACTGCTAAGAGGCGCTTTAACCAACGAACTCAGGATCTCCTGTTTACAAGACAGGCGCTTTAACCAACTAAGCCACAGCGCCGATACGTGCTAACAATCTTTTAGGGTTTCGAAAGCAAAAATGTATCTTCCAGACCATGAGACAAAATACAAGAACAAGTGATTCTCATGAAGGCACTGCTAAGATTCGAACTCAACTTTAACCAACTAAGCCACAGCGCCGATTCGTGGTAACAATCTTTTAGGGTTTCCAGACCATGAGACAAAAGCAAAAATGTATCTTCCAGACCATGAGACAAAATACAAGAATAAGCCATTTTCATAAAGGCACTGCTGAGATTTGAACTCAGGATCTCCTGTTTACTAGACAGGCGCTTTAACCAACTAAGCCACAGCGCCGATACGTGCTAACAATCTTTTAGGGTTTCGAAAGCAAAAATGTATCTTCCAGACCATGAGACAAAATTCAGGAATTCGAAAGGATTCTCATGAAGGCACTGCGAAAGCAAAAAGATTCAGACCATTTAGGATTTCCTGTTTACTAGGACAGTCGCTTTAACCAACTAAGCCACAGCGCCGATACGTGCAAACAAATCTTTTAGGGTTTCGAAAGCAAAAATGTATCTTCCAGACCATGAGACAAAATACAAGAAAAAGTGATTCTCATGAAGGCACTGCTAAGATTCGAACTCCGGATCTCCTGTTTACTAGACAGTCGCTCTAAGCCACAGCGCCGATACGTGCTAACAATCTTTTAGGGTTTCGAAAGCAAAAATGTATCTTCCAGACCATGAGACAAAATACAAGAAAAAGTGATTCTCATGAAGGCACTGCTAAGATTCGAGCTCAGGATCTCCTGTTTACAAGACAGGCGCTTTAACCAACTAAGCCACAGCGCCGATACGTGCTAACAATCTTTTAGGGTTTCGAAAGCAAAAATGTATCTTCCAGACCATGAGACAAAATACAAGAATAAGCATTCTCATGAAGGCACTGCTAAGATTCGAACTCAGGATCTCCTGTTTACTAGACAGGCGCTTTAACCAACTAAGCCACAGCGCCGATACGTGCAAACAATCTTTTAGGGTTTCGAAAGCAAAAATGTATCTTCCAGACCATGAGACAAAATACAAGAATAAGCCATTTTCAAAAAGGCACTGCTGAGATTCGAACTCAGGATCTCCTGTTTACTAGACAGGCGCTTTAACCAACTAAGCCACAGCGCCGATTTAACAATCTTTTAGGGTTTCGAAAGCAAAAATGTATCTTCCAGACAGCGCCGATGAAGGCACTGTAAGCTAACAATCTTTTAGGGTTTCGAAAGCAAAAATGTATCTTCCAGACCATGAGACAAAATACAGAATAAGCGATTTTCATGAAGGCACTGCTAAGATTCGAACTCAGGATCTCCTGTTTACAAGACAGGCGCTTTAACCAACTAAGCCACAGCGCCGATACGTGCTAACAATCTTTTAGGGTTTCGAAAGCAAAAATGTATCTTCCAGACCATGAGACAAAATACAGGAACAAGGGATTCTCATGAAGGCACTGCTAAGATTCGAATTTAGGATCTCCTGTTTACTAGACAGTAACTTTAACCAACTAAGCCACAGCGCCGATACGTGCAAACAATCTTTTAGGGTTTCGAAAGCAAAAATGTATCTTCCAGACCATGAGACAAAATACAAGAATAAGCCATTTTCATAAAGGCACTGCTAAGATTCGAACTCAGGATCTCCTGTTTACTAGACAGGCGCTTTAACCAACTAAGCCACAGCGCCGATACGTGCTAACAATCTTTTAGGGTTTCGAAAGCAAAAATGTATCTTCCAGACCATGAGACAAAATACAGGAATAAGCGATTTTCATAAAGGCACTGCTGAGATTTGAACTTAGGATCTCCTGTTTACTAGACAGGCGCTATAACCAACTAAGCCACAGCGCCGATACGTGCAAAAAATCTTTTAGGGTTTCGAAAGCAAAAATGTATCTTCCAGACCATGAGACAAAATACAAGAAAAAGCCATTCTCATGAAGGCACTGCTAAGATTCGAACTCAGGATCTCCTGTTTACTAGACAGGCGCTTTAACCAACTAAGCCACAGCGCCGATACGTGCTAACAATCTTTTAGGGTTTCGAAAGCAAAAATGTATCTTCCAGACCATGAGACAAAATACAGGAACAAGGGATTCTCATGAAGGCACTGCTAAGATTCGAATTTAGGATCTCCTGTTTACTAGACAGTCGCTTTAACCAACTAAGCCACAGCGCCGATACGTGCAAACAATCTTTTAGGGTTTCGAAAGCAAAAATGTATCTTCCAGACCATGAGACAAAATACAGGAATAAGGATTTTCATAAAGGCGCTGCTGTGATTTGAACTCAGGATCTCCTGTTTACTATACAGGCGCTTTAACCAACTAAGCCAACAAGCCACAGCGCCGATACGTGAAAACAATCTTTTAGGGTTTCGAAAGCAAAAATGTATCTTCCAGACCATGAGACAAAATACAAGAATAAGCCATTTTCATAAAGGCACTGCTGAGATTCGAACTCAGGATCTCCTGTTTACAAGACAGGCGCTTTAACCAACTAAGCCACAGCGCCGATACGTGCTAACAATCTTCTAGGGTTTCGAAAGCAAAAATGTATCTTCCAGACCATGAGACAAAATACAAGAAAAAGCGATTCTCATGAAGGCACTGCTAAGATTCGAACTCAGGATCTCCTGTTTACTAGACAGTCGCTTTAACCAACTAAGCCACAGCGCCGATACGTGCTAACAATCTTTTAGGGTTTCGAAAGCAAAAATGTATCTTCCAGACCATGAGACAAAATACAAGAATAAGCCATTTTCATAAAGGCACTGCTGAGATTCGAAGCTCAGGATCTCCTGTTTACAACACTGGCGCTTTAACCAACTAAGCCACAGCGCCGATACGTGCTAACAATCTTTTAGGGTTTCGAAAGCAAAAATGTATCTTCCAGACCATGAGACAAAATACAGGAATAAGGATTTTCATAAAGGCACTGCTGAGATTTGAACTCAGGATCTCCTGTTTACTAGACAGGCGCTTTAACCAACTAAGCCACAGCGCCGATACGTGCTAACAATCTTTTAGGGTTTCGAAAGCAAAAATGTATCTTCCAGACCATGAGACAAAATACAAGAATAAGCCATTTTCATAAAGGCACTGCTAAGATTCGAATTTAGGATCTCCTGTTTACTAGACAGGCGCTTTAACCAACTAAGCCACAGCGCCGATACGTGCTAACAATCTTTTAGGGTTTCGAAAGCAAAAATGTATCTTCCAGACCATGAGACAAAATACAAGAACAAGCCATTTTCATGAAGGCACTGCTAAGATTCGAACTCAGGATCTCCTGTTTACAAGACAGGCGCTTTAACCAACTAAGCCACACAGTGCCGATACGTATCTTCCAGCTAACAATCTCTTTAGGGTTTCGAAAGCAAAAATGTATCTTCCAGACCATGAGACAAAATACAAGAAAAGTGATTCTCATGAAGGCACTGCTAAGATTCGAACTCAGGATCTCCTGTTTACTAGACAGGCGCTTTAACCAACTAAGCCACAGCGCCGATACGTGCTAACAATCTTTTAGGGTTTCAGAAAGCAAAATGTATCTTCCAGACCATGAGACAAAATACAAGAATAAGGGATTTTCATAAGGCACTGCTAAGATTCGAACTCAGGATCTCCTGTTTTTGAACTAAGCCACAGGCTAACAATCTTCTCCAAAAATGTATTTCCAGACCATGAGACAAAATACAGTAAAGTGATTTTAACCAACTAAGCCACAGATCTCCTGCAGATAGGCGCTTTATAAACAATACGTGCTAACAATTAGGGTTTCGAAAGCAAAAATGTATCTTCCAGACCATGAGACAAAATACAAGAATAAGCCATTTTCATAAAGGCACTGCTGAGATTCGAGCTCAGGATCTCCTGTTTACAAGACAGTCGCTTTAACCAACTAAGCCACAGCGCCGATACGTGCTAACAATCTTTTAGGGTTTCGAAAGCAAAAATGTATCTTCCAGACCATGAGACAAAATACAGGAATAAGGGATTTTCATAAAGGCACTGCTAAGATTTGAACTCAGGATCTCCTGTTTACTAGACAGGCGCTTTAACCAACTAAGCCACAGCGCCGATACGTGCTAACAATCTTTTAGGGTTTCGAAAAAAAAAAATGTATCTTCCAGACCATGAGACAAAATACAGGAATAAGGTATTTTCATAAAGGCACTGCTGAGATTCGAACTCAGGATCTCCTGTTTACTAGACAGGCGCTTTAACCAACTAAGCCACAGCGCCGATACGTGCAAACAATCTTTTAGGGTTTCGAAAGCAAAAATGTATCTTCCAGACCATGAGACAAAATACAAGAATAAGCCATTTTCAAAAGGCACTGCTGAGATTCGAATTTAGGATTTCCTGTTTACTAGACAGTCGCTTTAACCAACTAAGCCACAGCGCCGATACGTGCTAACAATCTTTTAGGGTTTCGAAAGCAAAAATGTATCTTCCAGACCATGAGACAAAATAGAAGAAAAGCGATTCTCATGAAGGCACTGCTAAGATTTGAACTCAGGATCTCCTGTTTACTAGACAGGCGCTTTAACCAACTAAGCCACAGCGCCGATACGTGCTAACAATCTTTTAGGGTTTCGAAAGCAAAAATGTATCTTCCAGACCATGAGACAAAATACAAGAAAAGCGATTCTCATGAAGGCACTGCTAAGATTCGAACTCAGGATCTCCTGTTTACTAGACAGGCACTATAACCAAATAAGCCACAGCGCCGATACGTGCTAACAATCTTTAGGGTTTCGAAAGCAAAAATGTATCTTCCAGACCATGAGACAAAATTCATGAACAAGCCATTTTCATGAAGGCACTGCTGAGATTCGAACTCAGGATCTCCTGTTTACTAGACAGGCGCTTTAACCAACTAAGCCACAGCGCCGATACGTGCTAATCAGATCAATCCCTATAGCAAGCTTGAAGAATAGGTTTGAGGAAAGCCTTCATCAGACAACAGGACAATAACCTGTGCTGGATCAGACTGACCTAATAAAAGAACTTCTGCAGGGGTATTTAAAGGAATGAAGTTACGCACACTCATTGACACACCAACCTAAACAATACTCAATGGAGAACAGATCAGGCCGTCAGATAATCTCAACAAACTATACAGTATAATATGGGTGATGTATGGAGCTGTCATAAAACCCGAGGTTCACTCCCCAGTCAAGTAAAGGGGAGGCCTGGTACATATCCTTTTATGTTGAGGCACATATGAAGGTGAACGTAAAACCCATACAGTTGCTTTGACAGTCCATCACAAGTAAAGTAATCAAGACATCTATTTCTAGCATTGGGCCCCTCTAACAATGTAAAGACACATTCCGGCTTGTCCTCCGACGGGGAACCAGATTCCGTTTTTCAGAGTCTCGTGCTTTCCGTTCTTAACCTTTCTCTGTGCCTTTTGGCCTAAACAACATCTATGAGACTTACATGTAACTAAACTTCTTGAATGATCATAAAATTCCATAACAATCTGCCCTTTTTAACATTATAAACCCTTAATCATGTTAAACAATTTAAACAATGTTTTTAGAGTGCCAACTCTAAATTTTAGTTCAGTCAAACTTAATAATTACTCATAACCAATCAGGAATATATGGATTCACCACTGTCATATGTCTGGAACTGTAACCTGTTAAGAAAAATACTTTTACCAAACATAATACACAATCAATTGAAATAATCCAATGTCAGTACAGTAATTAGCAATATTCAACACCGTCATTTTCATATTCTGGATTTCTATTCCTCCATCTAGTGTGTGAGGAACTAATCATTAAACATATTAGAAAAAAACATCAGTAAATATGTTGGCACTCTTTGATCATCAGAAACATTCACATGACAGATCATTGAGTCATTATTGCAAACACATTCAGTACTGTTTATAAGTGAAGAAACATCCACATACACTGTAATTTTAGGGTCAGTCATAATGAACCATTCATCATTGGGTTGGCAGTTGTTTACATTACATGATATCTGTTTTCGTAACAGTCCCTGAGATCGGGCTTTAACGCCTTTCTCAATACCTGTCTTATTCAAATTTACATTTGGTTTGTAATGTTGTAGGTCAGAGAACCACAGTACAATTACAACAATGAGACTAAAAGCAAGATGTAATGCGATGTTGCATCTCATTCCCCCAATCCTCCTATAGGGGTTCCATGGTCGTCTCGCTGGTTCCATGGTGTGCAGGCTGTGTTGGTTTCTCTGATTACTGCTGACTGTGTTGGTGGTCAGAGGTTGCTAGCACGTGACCCGTTGAAACAGAAATGAGGATACTTATTCCTTGCCTGTATTCTCCAGAGGTGGAGCCTTTTTCTCTTTACAGTCCATAACTTCCTTGGAAAGTGTACAATAACATTCACACAATTTGTAATTGCCTCCTTTGTGGTCTGGATGACACGTTTTTCCTTGGTTCTGGTTTGACCTTTTCTGTGGTCTGTACCTAAAGTAATTCAGTTAGCTTCTGATATGTGTGTGTGTGTGGGTGTGTGTGCGTGGGGGTAGGGCTCAGATGCTCTGCTCCAGTTGTTCATGGTCCAACCTGTTGATTTTTAATGCGACACAACCTGCAAACAGTTATTGCATTCCATGTGTCAGTTAACATCTTTAACAATAGAATGACATTGTGTTTACTGCTCAGATTTAATTTTGCTAAGCCAAATACATTTGTAATAGCCATTCTCCTCAACCATTCAAATGTTTAGACATTCTATCAAATTAAACACTTCAATTGCCTGAAATCCAAATTTAACAAATGCTATATTCTTGAATATATTTATTACGTCACATCCCCTCTTGTTTTCTCCTTAAGTTCATCAACAATGGAGAAAACAAACTACTGTCATAGACAAACTTCTTAAATTTATCCAAGAGTAAACATGTGACTAAAATATGGTTTATGACCAGCCATCTGTTAGCTCTGGGCTGAGCCACCTCACAATCACACAGTAAACCAGCCCCCCCTCTAAATAAGCCACTTGGGTGTGCCCCCTCTTTTTGAGCCAGAGAAGCAACCCAGGGAGGGTCAGAGAAAAGTTCATAAACACCCCTAAATTAACAGAAAACATCTCTAGACAGGGAGATAAAGAGTTACTTTCTGCCCTTTTAACAATCAAGAACTCAGAATGTCTTAAACATGTTACTCAAAATAGCCAAAAGCCAATAATAAAAATAAAAGGGTGTATCAGAAATACACTTAACCCACATGGTCATTCATTATATCATCATGCCAACATTTATAGGAACAAATCCAAATGTCCTTATTCAACTTTACAAAACGAATAACCATAGCATATGACTAGAATATAATCTCCCTATAACCTAGAATGTAGTTCTCCTACAAAACAAACAAAATGGAACATATAGTGTTCCAGGTAAAAACATGCAGAGTTATAGTCGGAAAAACTCTTAATTATGTCATTAGCGCAGATGTTAATAAATGCCTAAGAAAAACAATACAATAAAATAGGAATTCCTCGTGCTCAGGAAAACCTGAAAATAAATGTGTCGACAAAACTTTGGCCTGGGACCCCTGTCCCAACTTCATGAAGCTTTACCCCAGATCATGCATGAATCACACCTAGGTCATTTTAATTTGATATTTGCGTACGCGTACGAACGAACCAGGACAGCGAAAAATAAGACCTCTCACTAACAATGAGCTGATTTCTACTGAGAATTTACAATAGCTATATATGCAGTCCCCTAGTTGTAACCGGTAAACTAGGGACAATGAGATATCAACCATCATGGGTCCAGTCACGCTCTCCGAGCTGCACGGACCTGACAAACCCCGTTTATCAGGCGATACGCAA